CATTGCCCTTGTCTGAGGCACCTGCGAGACACGTCCAAGGGAAAAAATTCTGGATTCGTATACATGTAATTCACAACCTCAGGTTTCAACCCAAGACGTTTCACAGACAACGGAGCACTTCCGAAGGCTCATCACTGGCGTAAAGTATAGAAACAAAGTGCCCAATTCATGCATAGTAAGATCCCATAAAATGATCCCCACTCACCTAGTTTGCAGATTTCATTTGACATGAGGGACTGTCAACTTGGTGGACCTTGTTGCACTAAATTTCTCTTTAGCTCATTTTTCTGGCTTTTTTTCCACTCCCATTTGCCAGTAATGGCCCCAAGGTTGAACTAGACCACTTTGCTATCTTGGACCTCTACCCATCCCCTCAACCCTGGCCCTGCTACAACTCAGGCTGCTTTCAGCACAGCCAACCCATTTCCATCTACTTGTGGTCCCCACTATCATCTTGGTAATCTTCCTTGCATACCATTTTCTATCCCTATGTCTGCCTAACTGTGTCTCTTTCCCTCTAGGCCTCATCTCCGCCTATCTATTCACTTAGGCCCAAACCCACAAAACCCCATGTTTTCCGTGCATACACCTTTTCCTACACACAATCAGTTCTGAGAAAGGGTCACTGGACCTGAAATGTTAACTCTGCTTTCTCTCCATAGATGCTGCCAGACCTGCTGAGTTTCTCCAGCAATTTCTACTTTTTGTTGCAGTCTTGGTGTTGTGCCTGACCGGAAGATGAACTTGCGATCATTCACCGCATCTGCCATTCTCCAACTCGGTCACATTCCTGGCATGTTTCCTATTGTTACCCTCACCTGCATGCTGTTGGCACCTGCAGACTATGCCAACACTTACATGGATGGTGTATCTTCCACCTGCGTGCAATGAAGCCTTAAAAACACCACTACTTGTACACCATCTCAGACCATGTCCCATTCATCCACTGCCCTGAATCTGCTAATTTACATGAGCTACATTATAATGTGCATCCCCAATTTTAATGACTCCACCATCTCTGGAACTCCCTCCCTCTCTTTCCTCCTTCAAGACACTGTTTTATTTTAGAGTTTTGAAAGAGAACTGCGGATGCTGCAAATCTGTAACAATTAAAAACATAAAGTGCTGGAGAAACTCAGCAGGTCTGGCAGCATTTATGGAAGAGAATAACTGAGCTAATGTTTCAGCCCCACTCTTGAAGTACTTGCCCCCAAACACATGCTGCCAGAACTTTTAAAAACATTTGCTCAATATCTCTCCCGTTAAGCTCTTTGAGATGGTTAATGATCTCAGAAGCAGCAATGTCGCTCCATGTTGTTGTTGATTAACTATGAACCAGCTTTTGGTTCCCTGGTAACACACTGCCTCTAAGTCAGCAACTGAAAGGGTGAGGTTGCTAAGGACTGGAATGATTGGCACAATCAGAAAATAAGTCCAACGCTGGAGGATCGAGGCCAGGAAACTAATTGCAACACAGAGAGATAAAGTAGCCTTACCCTTCTATTTACCCCTAGCCCTGTCATTCTGTCCCAGGTTTGGCTTTCAGCCAGTTAACTTCCAAAAGCTATCGTTCATTCTTGTGGCACCCACCCTTTCAGGCAGCTTGTTCCAGAACACAACTATTTGTGGCTTATTTACATAGCCGATTTCCTCACATTACCCCTGGGTTTTTTTTTTGTTGATTATCTTTTATCTGAGTCTTTTCGTTAGCATTTCTTCTACTGCAAAAAAAACCAACTGGCGTCTATTAAACATCCACCCTGTCCCACCCCACTAACCAACTCTACACCTCTCTGTCTCTGTACCTCCTAAAGACCACTCATTCCATTTATGTTACCTCCCACTCAACCAAAATGTCTATGTTAAATTCCACCTGATGATGCTTCTGTCTAATTCCAGTGTCTCTCTCTACATCTGATACCTGATCTCATCCTCACTACTTTACTACATTCTGACAACTGTCATAACATTCAAGGCTATGGGACAAGTGCTGGAAAGTGGGACCAGTGTAGATTTAAAGTAGTTTTTATTGGTGCAGACTCGATTGGACAAAGGGCCTCTTCTGTCCTGTATGTTTCTATAGCTCCAGATACAAGTCCTATACCTCCCATCCTCCCAGGTCTAGATCATCAATGTGTACTCAAAGACGGCTATGGTCCTAACGCTAGCTTGCCAACAGCGCTGTCCACTGCATCTAAGTAATACACAAGTTTAATCCTTCACAGTTGAATCATTCAATTCAGTTCTGCTACCAAGCCTGCTGTCATTAGGCATTTTTAAATGCTTTTTGAAAATTCATATATGCAACATCAACACATGCAAATTAGTCGATCATGAATCGCTTTCTATGTTTGGTTGATAATGCGTTAATTTATAAATAATGCTCCTTGACTTACATACTATTACCGTCTCAATCACACAGCTCTAACCCTAAAGTTAATTGAGATTTGCAATTGCATGCAAGAAAATAAACTATTTAATACGAATCCCTAAAAGCCATGTTACAGAGAGTCCCTGTTTTAAGTATCCCCCTTTGAAGATTTTTCATTTTAAAGTTGTTTCGATTTTACGCACCCTCCCATCTTCTGTTTTAATAGCCATTACTTCCTGGTTGCATCTCATGACATGACATCTCTTGCATCATCAGGGTAGCCCCTGATTATGTTTGCACTGTGCAGTCAAGGTTTTCTTAAAACAGATCCTGCAATAAATTTCATTTTGATTTTTCAACTTCTCTGCTGTTTGTACCAATATTTGTAAAGGAACTGCTGTGGACTTAGTTTACATTAAATAAAATCTCTGATAAACTGCAATCTACAGTCCTCCCCTTGTACAGGTACAACAGTAAACAGTTAAATTGAGTCTGAAAAAGAGTCATACCAGAAATGACTTAGAATCATAGAACGCCTACAACATGGAAGCAGGCCATTTGGCCCATTGAGTCACACTAACCCTCTGAAGACCATCCCACTCAGACCCACCCCATACTCTATCCATGTAACCCTGGCTAATTCCCATGGCCAATCTACCCCAACCTGCACATCTTTGGAATGTGGGAGGGAACCCACGCAAACACAGGGAGAATGTGCCAACTCCACACAGACAGTTGTCTGAGGGTGGAATCGTGCCTGGGTCCCTGGCACTGTGAGGCAGCAGTGCTAACCACTGTGCCACCTGACATAATGATACTATGTACAACCATTCTTGCTTCAGGTTTGCTCTTATCAATTACAGGCTGCAGCTGACTGTCTCTTTAAAGGCACTTGGCCAAGTCCTAAAAATTCTTGATGCGTTATCATTACCATTAAAGGAAGAACTTTCATTTACATAGCTCTTTACACAGCCACAGAATTTCCCAAAGCACTTCACAACCAATGAAATACATTTAAGTGCTGGCACTGCTGTAATGTTGGAAACATGAGAACTAATTCACACACAGAAAGCTCCCACTGATATAACATGATCTTAACCCAGTTAATCCAGAATTCAGCGTCCTGGACAAATGGTAATTACCAGGATATTAATGAGATTAATGTGCAAAAATGCAAACTAATTGTTTTACATTTCCACTCCCCTGCTCAGGGCGAAAAAGTAGTTTAATGTCTCTATGGAAAGATATGGCACTTTGAGGTTCTTGGTTGGAGTGGGCTGGTGGTGAGGAGGCAAAATGCAAAGGTTAAATTCTATTTCTTTCTGCAATCATTTCTCAGTAAATTGTGTTTTTTAAATGCAGTGAGCAATTGATATGAAACAGCTCTTAGCCTCCACAGCTGCGCCAGCTCTCAAACTATTTCAATAAATAATGCACGGTCATAACAGCCATTTTCTGAGTGAACAGAAGGAAATCCAACCCCATAAGGACAGTCTGTCCATTACCCTCCCATCAAATCTTCCGCTTTCTCTCCCCCCCTTCTTTCTCTCTTCCCATCTCTCCCAAACTTGCCCTCCCTGTATCCCAACATCTTTCCCGTTAACTCTCCTTCTCTTCCACCCATATTTGTCCCTTTCCCTCTTCTCACTGGATACCTTGTCTTCCTAGGCAGGCCCCCCTTGCTTTCCTTCTATTCTTCATAGTCCCCTCCCTATTTCCTCTTTCCCTCAGTCCTTCGCTGCTCCCCTCTCCCCTCCTTTCTGCCTCTTTCCCTATGTCCTTCCTCTCCCATCTCCCCTTTATCCCTTCCCTTCCTCCCTCCTCCTCTATTTCCCCTCCTTCTCATCCTCCTCCTCGCCCTGACATCTCCTCTCCCTATTCCCCCCTCCACCACTCCATTCCTCATGGCCTCCTTCATTGTCCCCCCCACCGTCCAATTCCTCTCTGTAGCCCCTCTTGCCCTTGTCTCTCCAATTCCCCCCACACCCCTCCCCTGGCCCCCCCAGCATCACCCCCCCCCCTCCCTCCTGCTACCACCCTCCCCCACCTCAACCCTTCAGTCTCCCTAACTTCCTCTCCTCCCTTCTCCTCTCTCCCTGAACCTCCCTCTTTCCTGCACCTTGCCCCTACCTCTCCCCTTTGCCCCCTCCCCCCCCCCAACCCCCTGCCCACGGTGTTGTTCCCCCCCCCCCCGGTCCCGGTCCCGCTGTCCCCGTACCTGCCACCCCCCGTGTCCCCGTACCCGGTCCCCGTACCTGCCACCCCCCGTGTCCCCGTACCCGGTCCCCGTACCTGCCACCCCCCGTGTCCCCGTACCCGGTCCCCGTACCTGCCACCCCCCGTGTCCCCGTACCCGGTCCCCGTACCTGCCACCCCCCGTGTCCCCGTACCCGGTCCCCGTACCTGCCACCCCCCGTGTCCCCGTACCCGGTCCCCGTACCTGCCACCCCCCGTGTCCCCGTACCCGGTCCCCGTAC